CAGCCAGTCTTGCGGTCAAATTTTAATGAGATAAGCGCCCCTTCTACATGGAATCCTGCAACCTTGGATTTTGTAAAAGTTATCTAAATTTATTAAATATTATGCTTAGAGCTAAGAGCAGACGTTTAATCATCGTGCATGCTTTATTTGATATTTACAAGCGAGGTATATGTGATCACATGTTGGACCATCTCCTTGCAAGGTATATGTAGTCACGTGTTAGGATTTTTCCTAGGCCCGATTAGTTCGGATTAATCTCTGTTTTGTCGTGCATATCACCGTGTCACCTGACCTTTATAAGACCTAATGAAACTTGGGGCTGTGAAGATTAGTAAATATTAATCGTTTAAACGTCTGTTAGAATACAGAGGTTCGCCCTTTGATCGGTTCCTCCGAACATAATCGTCATCTTATTTCTTTAAACTTCAGTGAAAGTTGCATATTCAGATCATTAACATCTATATTATGCTCATTATGACAAATCAAGGTAATAAACAGTTGTAAATCTTCCAACCCATTTGAAGATATTCCTGGCCGTCCATTATCCTCTTTTTCAGAATAATTAGGTATTAGCTGAGTATCGTTGAGAGGTGATTTTGATTCCATATCATATTTGGATATTTTGTTGTGTTGAACAATATGTTATGTGACTTTTAATCAGTTTATAATTGTATAGATTGACTGATCAGTTTATAGCAATCTCCAAATTCATAAATGGTGACATGTTAAGGATTGTCGTAAGTTTTAATTAGATTTATCGGTTTCCGCTTTATTAGTTTATTAGCAGCCGATGAAAGTAACTTGCTGTTAGTGTTAAAATGTTAATGTTTCTCCGCTTTTATTAACATTCAGTTTCAAATCCAGAAGTATCAAGTTAAGTTATATTTATGTTGAATTCACGTGCGCTAGAGTATTTAAATTCTTGCAGAAGTAGTTTGGTAATTCCTTTCTCCTTCTTTAATCCTTATAATTTCATAATTCATCTAATTTTTATGATCTGTAGTATACTCGGCGTAATCCCTTAATTTTGTAACCGTACAGAGCCCTGTGGCATCACACGGTTGCTATAGAGTGGGAAATCCTGGAAACTTAGAGTCATTACAGATCGATATCACGCATTCCTAACTGTCGAGTTATTATATTGATTGTAACGATTTTAAAACCCCACGCACCCGGTACAATAACGTGCAGTGACATTTTTATCGCTAGAATTCCACAGTTTTGTAGAATAAGTTTATCTATTTTCGTTTTGGAATTCGTTACAAATACAAACCGTTGATGATAAATTGCAAGTTTAAATAAATGTTTTCAGCAGCTGGGTTTTTCTTAAAAAAGGTAAGATACTGCATTCCGATCCAATTTTCCCTAAATCATATCCTGGTACCATTATGATACGAAAGTTTTCCAACAAATTACCCGAACGTCAATATTAGTTGAGACATACTATTTAAAGGTGATGTTAATATTTCATAAAGTTAGCCTATGTAATTAATAATTATACTTTACAGTAAGTTGCAAATATTTAATATTTATACCTTATCATACATATTGAGTTATTAGATTATTTCATTACAGTTATTACTACGCAATTACAATTAGTACCTAGACGTGCTGCCTGTCGACCATTTATATAATAATAGAGTTCTGGAAGGATAACATAAAATTAAACAGGCACTGCTTTCCGCTTAATAAGATTTGGCGGGTCACAGTCACTCGTATTTTGACGATCTTGGCCTTAATCGGGCAAAATTGGGGCTCTAGAAGCTTCTGCAGGTACTACAAGAGTATAAGCTGTGAATAATGAAAAATAACATTATAACTATAAGGGCCATGATAACTTTTTATTTTGCTCTCATTTTCAAATTCGCAGATTTACGATTTTATAATTCTAAGCAATTCTAAGTAAAAGAAAAATGTTTGCTTTTGGTTGCATCACTATAATTACTGAGCTCAATTTTGACCATGTTTAAATGCACATCAAGGATCCGGATGCTGCAAATTCTTAATTATAAAACACTGCATAATTTTGATCTGTTATAATGATGGTAAGTTCTACGAATCGATTGGTGAAAAAAATACTGCTGATGAATTATAGCTTTATGGGACGTTAAGAAATTTAAAAAATTCAACCACAGCTGATTTCTATAATTGTCAATCATTATCAAAATCATAGTGGTCCGTATTGCGGATAGACCACTTCTTTTATCTTCTCAACTCCATCATGCTGTCCGGTGAACAAGTTTCTTATTGTTTGCCAGGAACATGAACTTAGTTATGTTTCAATAAAACAAGGATAATCTTTCTTTTTCATATTCTCAGTTTGACGTTCAAACTTTCACGACTTAAAAGTTAAAAGTTCAACTTTCATTATCAAACTTAAGTAGCCTCGCTTTTCGGCAATCACGAATCAGGCGGCGTGCAGAAAGTTTACCTAATTCACCCGTTCTGGAATCTGGTCGGTAAATCATTCAAAAGAAGATGTGATGTCATGATTGGACCGCCGATGTGGGTTCAGGAAAAATGTTAAAAGGTTAAAATACAGTTTAAATCATTAGAGACAGCATGTAATTTAGTTTTCGCTGTCTGCGATGTAGCTATTTTGCTTAAAAACCCAACCCAAACATTTCTAATGTATTTTTCATCGTATCATTTTGTAAATGTTCACCACAGCATCAATTGTTTTAAATATTATAAATTTAAAGTAGCGGCCTTTTGAAATCTTTCAAGCGAACATTCGACCAATCAAGAAGCGACCTCATGATGGTTAAAAGTAAATGGATTTGCTTGCAAAGATATTAAGATTAAACACTTTTTTAAATTGGTTTTTAACAACACCGTATCATATAACTTAATTTTACGTTAATTAACTTTAAGTACATACTTTTCAAATTTTACGGTCTGTAAACTCAATGCTAAAGATCGCCGTTTGTTTAAAAATCGACTGCACCCAATGAATAATAATGATACCTATTAAGTAGTGATACCCTTTTGCGCATGTCAACACGGTCTATAAAATACTAAAATAGACAAGTTTATGTAAATAGAGGTACTTAAATTTGTTTGTCCCTTTGCATAAAAACAAGGAAAAGATCACTAATTTTGATCACTATTTGCGACACTTACACTTTTAGATTTACACTATAAGTTAAAATGTTTTTATCCATAGATTCTATCCAGCTCTTCTTCATAGCCTCTCTAAATAAAGATCCAGGCCAAATATAATTAATATAATCATTCTGGCAATTATCAGCTTTGAGGTCAGCACTATAGCACGTTGTTCACGGCATTATTGAGTGATTATTGAGTAATAACAATACTTTTGTTTTGTCTGTTTCTTTGACGCATTCACCTCTAATAAAATAGGTGACCGCAATGTTTTATTAGTTTACAAGTAAATTATCTTTCTAATTGGTGTAAAGAAAAGGTCACGTTTTGCTTTGACCTCTAACTTAGAGGGAGGAATTAAGGATTCCCTTAGAGTCTAAGGGAATCCTTAATTCTTCCCTCCTCTGTTCAGATCAATATATTGGACAGACCTGTCACTGTTAAGATACAAATATTCATATTTGGAAAAGGTAAACTACATACTAACGTATTATATACGATTCACAATTATAACCCTAGCACGTCCTTTTTTCGGCGGAATTGAGCCTATTATATCATAGGACCAGTATCCCAGACATGAATTTAAGTTTCTTATCCGATTCAACTCAATTCGTTTAATGATAACGGACACAATTACAGACATAATTTACAATTTATTTACAAACGCATAGATTCTTCTTTGCTTAATTTTCTACCGTAATGGAGCATTTATAAATTTCTTTTAGTCCCAGAAATTGTATCAGAATTTTCGTTTATTTCGATTTATATTTTGCCGAGTTTCGGGATTTCTAGCTGGTTTTTCCTCGATCAACAAATAACTGTACCATATCAGCTGTAATCGGAATGACAATGTTGTTCAACTTTACTTTTGTTGAGTTTTGATATCCCAGCCGATTTTGCTACTACGTTTAAATTCAATCCCTCGCTGGCTGTGTAACTTCAATAACTTTACGTTGAGCTACCAGTCGAATCTGCCGACATTTTGATTATATCGTTTGCTACAAATACAATTTGATCGTTGAATGAAACGTATTTATCATTCAATTGCAAGAATTTTGATATTTTCTTGCCTTAAAATTGATCGTATTTCAGAAAATCGTTCATAGCATTTATAGCTTATTATGATATTCTTACAAAGTTGTTAATTGAATTTGTGTGTACCAATAGTATTCTAATCTGACGTTTATTGTCTAAGTTAAGTTGCACGAATTGCCACTGTAACTTTTCAACCATATATTACACTTACATTACAGTGTTACAATATTTATATCACAGTGCTGGCAAGCGTGATGTTGAATTTATATCACAGCATTTCGTGTTGATTTAAACATCAAGATATTGAGAATTCAGTAGTCTTATAATTTCATAAAATTTACTACCATTGTCGAATTACTCAATCTATTTGATTGTAGACATTGGACTTGATAGGGTTGAGAAAGGAGCCTTAGTCGCACGATCTACCCATACTCAAGTGCACAAGTTATTCATGATATTCCAATATCCTGACTGCATCCTGACTGCATTCTGTGATTCTGTCTCTGACTGCATACTCAAACCTCGACATGTTGCACATTTACTACAGATATCAAGCGAATAGATTCCACCCTATCAAGTTCAATGGTCCACTGTTACCAGTCTAAGGCTCCTTTTCAACCCTTCATCCACATGCACCTGTTATTATTTCAATGAGTCTGAAAATATATTTCATCAATGATCCATAGACTTGGTTAAAAGTAGGGAGGTGTTGGATATCAGTTTTTACACGTGATAGAAATTATTGGAATTCATTGGTCACTGCTAGAAACCAGTCGTGTTTCAGATGAATGTTAATCTCATCCCCTCACTTTTAACCAAGTTTATAGACGATAACCAAATTTGGACATTTTATTGTAACAAGATTGTAATTTTTGTTGGTTTTAGTAGCCGTCCCTACTGCGATGTGACAAGTTGGAGTGGTTTCAAAGATGAGACTTCTGTATCTGCTATTCCTGATTGCGCTCATCAATACTACTTTTCAACAGAAACAGAACAAAAAGAAGGGAGGAGGAGGAGGAAAGAGAGTGAATAAGAAGTCGACCAAAAAATCTCGGAAAAGTTCTAGTCTCCAATTCGCTCAATTCGATGATTACGAGTCTGTTCAGGTGAATGTTAGAGATCCTGATTTCCTCGGCCAGTTTGAGTCTGCAACTGATGAACCAGATCCAGCCTGCTGCAGTAACCCTGTTAAAATCAACCGAGGAAGACAAGGTCGAACCGGAAAACCAGGAGATACTGGATTAGCCGGGGATCCTGGACCTCAAGGTTTGCCAGGAAGAAGAGGAATACAAGGTCAAATTGGAGATAAAGGTGGCATTGGTCTCCCTGGTGCTTTTGGACTGCGAGGTGTCAAGGGTGATCCTGGACTACCTGGTGTTCGAGGAGAACCTGGTAAAGATGGGAGAATTGGTATTGATGCAATGAATGGATTGAACGGTATTGATGCTACTAATGGTACGGACGGTGAAAAAGGAGATCAAGGAGCAACCGGGGAACAGGGGGTCAAGGGACACCTTGGATTTGATGGCGCTAAAGGAGATTTAGGTCAAAACGGAGATCGTGGAACAACGGGCATTGTCATAAAAGGAATCAAAGGACTTCCTGCGCCTCCATTTGGAGAGTTAGGAAGCAAAGGACTAAAGGGACAAAAAGGAGTAGTCGGACAGCACGCTCCTGATGGTTTTGACGGTGCATTTGGTCTACCCGGAGTACAGGGTAGCAAAGGAAGGATTGGCCGAATAGGGTTTACCGGATTGGAAGGAGCGAAGGGCCAAAAAGGTGATACTGGTCCTACCGCACCTGATGGCGCTGATGGGGTTGACGGAAGAACTGGTGACTTGGGTGAAAAGGGTAGAAAAGGTTGGCAAGGAACTATCACTGTTGGCCCAAAAGGTTTAAAGGGTTTGAAGGGTGAAGAGGGAATCAAAGGCGAAGAAGGACTGAAAGGAATAGATGGACTTAAAGGTCGACTTGGCGGGTTAGGTGTCAAGGGCCAACAGGGTCTTAAGGGCGATCAAGGAATCACTGGAGCCATCGGAGAAATCGGAGAAAAGGGGTATATTGGTTTGAAAGGGGAGATTGGTCTCAAAGGAGATCAAGGGGTTGTCGGAGTACCGGGAGAAACAGGTCGAAAAGGTTTTCTGGGTAGTCAAGGATTACCTGGTTTAAATGGAGTACCAGGAAAGCACGGTCCGGAAGGTGCTGTCGGGCAAAAGGGTGAGCTGGGCGTAAATCCTCCTGAAGACCTTATCAGCAAAAATCCTGGTGATAAAGGTTTCACCGGCTCCACAGGTCACAAAGGAGTTACAGGTTTTCCTGGAGACTACGCGGATAAGGGTGAGCCAGGTCGTCCAGGGTTTCATGGTGACGATGGTATTCCTGGAATAAAAGGCGAAAAAGGTCTGAAAGGAGTAAAGGGATTTGTTGGTGAACAAGGAACTGATGGAGATCAAGGACCAAAAGGAGACGTTGGAGATCTTGGGCCAAAAGGATCTCAAGGTTTTCCTGGTGTAAAGGGTTACAAAGGTCAAGTTGGATCCCAAGGACCCACAGGTGAACAAGGTCCTTCGACCGTAGGTGATCAAGGTCGAGATGGTCAAAAAGGTTTAAAAGGACAGGAAGGAGAAATAGGTGATATTGGACCTAAGGGTGCAGACATCTACGGTAGAAAAGGAGAGTTTGGACTTGTTGGGAGACGAGGACCAGTGGGACCTAAGGGTATTGATGGAGAGAAGGGACTCGAAGGAGTCAAAGGGTTTTTGGGGGCAAAAGGATTGAAAGGAGGAAAAGGAGAAGAGGGGGATAATGGCAAACCAGGAAAACGAGGAAAGCGAGCGAAAAGAGGTAAAAAAGGAATGTTTGGTCCTGAAGGCAGACACGGTAAAGCGGGAAGAGATGGTGATCCTGGATATCATGGGTTTCCTGGAGTTCCTGGACCGGAGGGAGAAGTTGGAGATAAGGGAGGAAAGGGCGCACAAGGAACTGATGGGGTAATAGGTGAGAATGGAGATACAGGAGAAAAGGGAAGCAAGGGAACTTACGGCTTGTATGGGTATGACGGTACATTTGGCAGACACGGTATTCCAGGTTTCTCCGCGATTGGTGGTGGTCCAGGAGTAGATGGAAGGAGAGGAAAACAAGGAGATGTTGGTATAATGGGTATTAGAGGACATAAAGGACAAAAAGGTGAACTAGGCCTTGAAGGGTTTATGGGTATGCCGGGTTGGACCGGGAAGAAAGGTGAGCCAGGTATTCAAGGTGGTTTGGGTGCTGTAGGGCTTCCCGGTAACGTTGGAGAGATAGGAGACCCTGGTAATAAGGGTCCTCTTGGGGCTCCTGGAGACACTGGACTACCTGGAAAAACTGGGGTTCATGGCATTCCGGGACAAGACGGCATTCATGGGACAAATGGTGTGGACGGTCATGATGGTATCAAAGGAGTTAAAGGAGATGTTGGAGATGATGGCATTCAGGGACCATCTGGCTTACCAGGAATACCGGGAAATCGTGGTTTCAAAGGAATCGATGGTTATCAGGGTTCAAAAGGGAAAAAAGGACCAGCTGGGTTGCCTGGTGATGAAGGACTTATTGGAATTGTTGGCTTTATCGGACAAAAAGGTGACCCTGGTGTGCATGGAAGTAATGGTATTCCTGGATTACCTGGAGTTGATGGTTCGAACGGGCTAGATGGACTGCTTGGTATTTATGGAGAAAGCGGTTTGAAAGGATTGAAAGGTACACCAGGAATAAAGGGTAAACTTGGTCGGCACGGACCCCCAGGTCAGCATGGAAGCCCTGGAAAAAACGGGGACCACGGTAGGCCTGGTATAACTGGAATACCTGGTCATCTCGGAATAAATGGAATTGATGGGAAACCTGGATCCACGGGCTTTGGTGGTTTCTTTGGGCGACGTGGTGACGTCGGACCTGAAGGAGAACCAGGAAACGAGGGAAGGAAAGGGACACGTGGTATTGATGGCACAGAAATCAAGGGTGATAAAGGTTCTATGGGTCGAAACGGGTGGGCTGGTTTTGTTGGACGCAAAGGAATGAAAGGCCTTCCAGGAGGTGTTGGTCCAGTTGGTGCGCCAGGTGATAATGCAAAGAGGGGAGAGCCAGGCCCTCAAGGAGTTAAAGGGTATATTGGACGTCTTGGTGATGATGGTTTCCCTGGGCTTCCTGGATTTAGAGGATGGCCTGGAGAGAAAGGCGAGCAAGGGAGACTAGGAAAAAAAGGCAGAATTGGAGATGCTGGAATTGAAGGACGTGCAGGAGCAGTGGGTGCTGATGGACAAAAAGGAGAAGATGGGGAAGTTGGTCCTCCAGGAAAACAAGGATACCTTGGACCAAAGGGAAATCCTAGTCCAAAAGGCAAAAGAGGTCCCAGAGGAGATGTTGGTAACAAGGGTGTGCAAAGACGAAAAGGGTATCCTGGCGAAAAAGGAATTAAAGGTTATGTTGGGCAATATGGAAAACGAGGCCCTAAAGGATTGAGAGGTCCACTTGGACAAAAGGGACGACAAGGAATCAAAGGTTATCCTGGAGATATTGGTGTACAAGGTGAAACAATACCTGGTCCGCCAGGTGATAAGGGTCCAGCCGGATTGCCAGGCTTAGTAGGAGAAGATGGAGCAGAAGGAGTTCCAGGTTCTACTGGTTCACTTGGTCCTCCAGGTTATCCTGGAATGAGAGGAAGAACAGGTCGTACTGGAAACCCTGGAGATCCTGGTCAAAAGGGAGCGGTCGGTGAGGGTGGTTTTAAAGGTGTGATCGGCCTCAAAGGTGCACCTGGAACCCCTGGTGAAGATGGAGACCAGGGAACTCCTGGAATGGAGGGGTGCCCTGGACGTCCTGGAAACTTAGGACAGCAAGGCTCTCGAGGTCCTGTCGGTTACACAGGTATTAAAGGTCTCCCGGGCGATAGGGGAGACAGGGGAGAAGTAGGACGTCCAGGTAAAATAGGACCAAAAGGAGAGCCACATCCCGATTATGTGATCAACCCTGATCTCCCTAAGGGTGAAGCAGGTGACGTTGGTGATCCCGGTGAAACTGGTTACCCAGGACCGAAAGGAGATAAGGGGAAGACAGGAAGGTCTGGAGAAAGAGGAAAGAAAGGATCTCAAGGACAGCTTGGTATGCAGGGTATTAGAGGAATTGCTGGCGAAGAAGGGGACGTGGGAAATACGGGTACTGCTGGAGGACCCGGAGTAAAAGGGTACCCCGGACATCCCGGTTTTAAAGGACATCCAGGTGATAACGTGGTGGGAGATCCAGGGAATCCAGGGATGAGAGGGAGGAATGGTAGACGTGGTGGCAGGGGAGGCCGTGGTGCTATCGGACCAAAGGGACAATTTGGTAAAGATGGTGATGAAGGTGAAATAGGTTTCCCTGGTAGTCGGGGTTTAAGAGGTGCGTTAGGTCCAATAGGAAAACAAGGGAATAAGGGAGAAACTGGAAACAAGGGAAAACAAGGCTTCGAAGGTTCTCAGGGTTTCAGAGGATTCCCAGGGACAAGGGGTGACCAGGGTTCAACTGGAACACCCGGGCTCAAAGGTGATCAAGGTAGAGATTTTCTCATTTCTGATCATTACGACCCCAAAACAGGAATCAAGGGAATGGACTTGATTGGAAGAAAAGTTGTTGATATGCTCGTTGAAGATATCAGGGCCTTGGACCACCCTTCTTTACTAGGTAAACCCGGGGAAACTGGAACTACTGGGAATAGAGGTGGATTCGGAGATGATGGAGACTCAGGGATTCCTGGGGCTGATGGTTCCGATGGAAAAAGTGGAGTGGTCGGTATTCCTGGTACTCCTGGTATTCATGGTATGCCGGGAATTCAGGGATCTCCTGGAGACGTGGGATTAGCTGGCAACAGAGGACCTTCCGGAAGGAATGGTTTTAGAGGCAACAGAGGAGATGTTGGTGACAATGGTGCGAAAGGGGACGCAGGTATCATTGGTTTTATTGGTAAATTTGGGAGAGATGGTGATGTGGGGGAGGCTGGTCAGTGTACTGAAAGCTGTTCTGGAACGGGTCCCCGTGAGAAGAAGGGGTGTCATTGTGATACCCACGTTATTACCATGCACAGCCAGACAACTGACATACCTCAATGTCCTCAGCATTGGAAATCACTCTGGGTTGGGTAAGTTTCGAACTATTTTTATTTTCATATTTTCCATCCCATCATCCCACAATCATTCATTCGATTTTTGAGCCTTAGGTTGGTGCCGTGGACTTTTCAACGTATCCAAAAATTTACTAAATTTCTCAATGTATAGTGACATGCCCTTATCGTGTAGAGAAAAGATGATGTGAGACATACAATCGACAATGATCCTCGGCTTCCTCATTATCTCGTTCGTGTCTGCAGAATCTGATCCGGACCCTGCACGGAGGAACAGACTAGGGGTTGTTAACTCAAAGAATGACACCGCAATTGTTTGCTGTAGTGAGCCTGTAAAGTTTGTCAGAGGAGATACAGGTCTACCCGGTCTAGTGGGAGTGATAGGAAAAATCGGCCAAACTGGTGTTAATGGTTTACCTGGCCGTGATGGAGCTCTGGGTCCAGAAGGAGAACAAGGACCCCCTGGTTTACCTGGTGACTTAGGAGGGAGGGGAGATCAGGGATATCAAGGACAGCCAGGCAGTCCTGGCGTGTCAGGGCATACTGGTAGAGATGCTCTGCCGGGCATGCATGGCTTAAGGGGAATAAACGGAGTAAATGGAACAAATGCAGAAAATGGACTGAAAGGAGAGACAGGTGCACCAGGCGTTACTGGAACTTCAGGAATTGACGGTCTAGCAGGAAAACTTGGATTCAAGGGAGACAGGGGTTCTATCGGTATAGTACTGAAAGGAATTAAGGGTGTAGAAGGACATATAGGACGAACTGGAATTAAAGGAGACACTGGCCTGACCGGTGATAATGGTATACCTGGTGATAAAGGTAGGAGGGGGCCAATGGGATTTTGGGGAATAGACGGAGAGAAAGGCATGATGGGAAAAATCGGTCCTGATGGCGTAAAAGGTGTGAAGGGTTATAAAGGAAACACAGCAGAAGACGGACTGAATGGTATGAATGGAGCGGATGGAGCAGATGGTGCAGTCGGATATAAAGGAGAAAAAGGAGTTCAGGGAGAATTTACGAGAGGCCCGAAAGGAACTAAAGGAGTTGATGGCTCAAAAGGGCGCAAAGGACACTGGGGCCAGATTGGATTCCCTGGTCAAGAAGGATCGAAAGGTATACATGGAGAAAAAGGGAGTACTGGTGCTCTAGGAGATGGTGGTGTGATCGGGATTATCGGAAGAAAAGGCATGAAAGGAGGTGATGGTCCCAAAGGTCCTATTGGAGAGAAAGGTGACGGTGGTGTTACAGGCCTTGAAGGAGAAAAAGGTCTTCCCGGGATTCCCGGACCCCATGGAATCCCTGGTCGACCAGGTATTCATGGTATGCCAGGTATGAACGGACTCAGAGGAAACAAAGGAGATCCAGGGGAAGAAGTAATACCTTTAAGAGAACAAGGAGATCAAGGCGAAAAGGGTGACACTGGATATGAAGGATTTAAGGGCCGTACTGGACAAGGTGGCAATAAGGGTTTCAAAGGTGAACCAGGAATCGACGGTTTAGATGCTCTAGACGGAATTGATGGGTCAAAGGGTGTGGAAGGAGTGGTCGGAGAGATGGGGGAAAATGGAGAGATGGGAGGACCTGGACGAGTTGGCATAGGCGGTTTTCACGGCAGACGGGGACCTCAAGGGCTACCAGGAATCAAAGGTTGGCAAGGAGTGAAAGGTATTACGGGAGATTTTGGAAGCAAAGGAAATGCTACGGTTGGCCCTCAAGGTGAACAAGGAGACAAGGGTTTCCGAGGAAATCGTGGCGTTATTGGTGATCGTGGTGTTAAAGGAGCCACTCTGCCTTCACCAAAAGGTAGCTTTGGAAGGCTTGGAATTCCTGGAGACCCGGGTCCTAAAGGAAAAGAAGGGTGGCGTGGTCCACCAGGTCCACAAGGGGAGCAAGGTTCCACTGGACTAACAGGTGGAAAAGGAATTCCAGGAGACGATGCAGTACCTGGGATTCCTGGTTATGATGGAGATAATGGACAGAAAGGTCATCCAGGATCTTTAGGTGCCGATGGTAAAGACGGATCGGTTGGACCACATGCACTGCATTCTCTTCATGGAACACACGGTATAACAGGCTTAAAAGGATTCACGGGTAACAAAGGTATGTTTGGACTCCCAGGTTTGCCTGGTGTTCCAGCAGAAAGAGGCGAAGTCGGTACCCCTGGAATAAACGGTAAACGTGGAGCGAGGGGTTCCAACGGAATTCCCGGCACACCTGGTACACCGGGTAAGCCTGGAAAACCTGGAACAGATGGAGCAGAAGGACAAGATGGAGATATCGGCCCAGTCGGTGAAAAAGGTAAGCCAGGAACCAAGGGTTACGAGGGAGTAGACGGATATGCGGGAGTTCGTGGAATGTCAGGGAGAAAGGGTTTACGGGGCTCCAAGGGTGTCCAAGGAAGCAAAGGAGCTACAGCATCAAAAGGAAGACGTGGAGCTGAGGGTATCAAGGGAGAAACTGGGGGTGAAGGAGAAGTTGGGAGGCAGGGAGAGTTTGGTCTTCCTGGCGTGCCAGGCACGAACGGACTCCCAGGACAGAGTGGTAAAATTGGTCAAAAGGGTGACAAAGGTGTTACCGGTGATGATGGTGATGATGGAGCAGAGGGGTTAAAAGGAAGTCGAGGACACCACGGCTTGATAGGATTACCAGGAATAAACGGGATACCTGGGCAAAAGGGAAAACATGGACATTTTGGTATCGCTGGTGATCAAGGAAGCAAAGGACAAAAAGGAACAACTGGTTTTACCGGCGAAGCTGCTCCCGATGGCACCAACGGCATTCCTGGCCGACCCGGAAAATCAGGAACCCATGGTAATAAGGGGGTAGTTGGCGAAATTGGAGACAAAGGAGCTGATGGTAATCAGGGTCAAAAGGGTGAGCGTGGTCCGCGTGGAGAATATGGTGTTCCAGGAATTCCCGGCCAAGCTGGTTTAAACGGCTTTCATGGTAGACCAGGTCTAGTTGGTGCTTTCGGAGAAAATGGCAGTAACGGTGTACCTGGTCGTAAAGGTCAACTTGGTTCAAAAGGTACTCGAGGTGCCCCTGGTCGCCAGGGAAATCCCGATGATATCGACATTCAATCGTTAATAAAAGGTGTTGAAGGTCCAAAGGGAGAAAAGGGAGAGCCTGCACCAAATGTTCCAGGTGAGAAAGGAAAACAAGGAAGAACGGGTGTCAGAGGAAGACCAGGATACCGAGGATTGAAAGGTAACAGAGGACTTAAAGGTATCAGCAATAACAAAGGTGAACCTGGTGAGCCCGGCCCACAAGGCATAGTTGGTATCAAGGGATACGTCGGTAGAATGGGAGCAGACGGCGAGCATGGAGCACTTGGACCGAGGGGAATTGTTGGCGTACCTGGAGTACTTGGCAGAGAAGGAAAAGTTGGAAAGGTTGGACTGACTGGTGTCTCTGGACTTGATGGGAAAGATGGAGCAGAAGGTCAAAAAGGATCGGCTGGTATTGCTGGCATAACAGGTTTGAAAGGAGTTCCTGGTCCCAAAGGTTTAGATGGCAATAAAGGACCTGCAGGAGAAACTGGTATTCAGGGCGTCATTGGATTGAAAGGAGAGAATGGGGATGAAGGGGTGAACGGTCCTCAAGGTTTTGTCGGGGTTGCAGGAGCCAATGGTGTCAATGGAACATCAGGTCTGCAGGGTTTCAAAGGAGAAAAGGGTAGACCTGGTGAACACGGTGATACCGGACAGCCTGGTCCTGATGCAGTTGGTACACCAGGTGATAAAGGTAAGGATGGTGACAAAGGTCATTTTGGGGGACGTGGTCCGCGTGGGTTAGATGGAATGGATGGTGCGGATGGTGCGGATGGTTTACCTGGTACACCAGGAGTTAAGGGTACGCCTGGGAATGCGGGCATCCCAGCAGAAGGAGGAATTCCTGGGCCAGATGGACGAAAAGGATCAGTAGGGCCTAAAGGTCTACCAGGTCTCAACGGAAATTCTGGCATTAAAGGTTTGGCTGGATTAGACGGCTGTCCTGGACGGCCTGGAAGACAGGGACAACAAGGAATTCGGGGACCAATTGGTGACCAAGGACGTAAAGGGCCCTTGGGTGATCAGGGAGAACAAGGAGAGCCCGGCCTACAGGGAAAGAGAGGTCCTAAAGGAGAACCTCATGAAAATTGGGTGATAGATCCGGATCTGCCGAAAGGTGAAGACGGTGACGTCGGTGACCAAGGCCCAAAAGGTCCAATTGGATCCAAAGGAGGCAAAGGTAGAAGAGGAAGACGTGGACCCGACGGAAAGAAGGGACAGCAAGGATTTTTCGGCTCAACTGGTCGCAGAGGGCCAACTGGTGACAAAGGAAATACTGGATTTGACGGACAGCCAGGGCTACCAGGAATTAAGGGTTTTCCAGCATATAAGGGTTTCAAAGGTGCGATGGGTGATTCAGCGGTGGGTAGGTCAGGACGTGATGGTGTTAATGGTGCTGATGGTGAGAAGGGACAGCAAGGACTAATTGGCATCACAGGTGTGAGTGGTATCCCTGGTGATGTAGGTTTTCCGGGCAACAAAGGTTCAACTGGTCTACCAGGATTAGAGGGTGCTGAAGGAACTGTTGGAAGGGTTGGTCCAATCGGATACAAAGGATCTATTGGTGAACCTGGTGAGCGTGGAGAGGATGGAAATTACGGTGAAGAAGGAGCGGATGGAGCAGAAGGTGAGGTGGGAGATCCAGGAACCAAAGGCAACAAAGGCAAACCATTATCCGTGAGAAACATTTACAATCCTTCCGAAGGTCTGGATCCTTTAGGCGCACATAGGGATTTATTTGATTTTGTTCTGGAGACTATAAATGTTAACGATCTGATTGTTTCTCCGGGACAACCTGGAGAACTAGGATCCATGGGTGCCAAGGGAGCAAAAGGTCTTTATGGTGATGTGGCTTTACCCGGTGTTCCCGGAGTGAATGGAGAACCTGGAACTGATGGAGTACCAGGCTTGGAAGGATTTGAGGGCCTGCTCGGACAACCTGGAATGAGAGGAGATTTAGGAATCCCTGGAGCCACAGGTGTTGACGGGAAACGAGGGGTGAGAGGTGATCGGGGAGACGAAGGTGATCAAGGTGCTCAAGGTGATCTTGGTGTAGAGGGTATACTTGGTGAACATGGAAAAGATGGACAAAACGGAGAACCGGGAGTCTGCAGTCAAATATGTACCCCAAACAATGTCCCTCTGACGGCAGGAGCTCAGAAGAAGTGTGGCTGTGATACACATGTTCTTGTCATGCACAGTCAGAATACTGATATACCCAGGTGTCCTGACAAGTGGAAGTCCTTGTGGATTGGGTTAGTTGGCTAATACACTCATTTCACCCCCTTCATTCTCCAACATTCGCTCATTTTAGGTATACTCTGTTGATTTTTGTTCAAATGGGAAATTGGTAGATCACCGACCGGCTATAAGCCGGTTATAAGCCGGCTATAAACCGGCTTATAGCCGGCTACAATTTTTATAGCCGGCTATAAGCCGGCTTATAGCCGGTTAGTAACTGAATTTCTTATAGCCGGCTCCTGACTATCGTTCAGTACGATGTAGTTGAGTTAATATCTTATAACCGGCTTATAGCCGGCTTATAACCACTTTTAATACCAAAACTGCTAATAGCAGGCTTATAACCGGCTAATAGCCGTCGCTCAACAACAAATGTAAGCGGCTACTAACCGGCTATAAGCCGGCTTATAGCCGGCTATAAAAATTGTAGCCGGCTATAAGCCGGCTTATAGCCGGTTAGTAGCCGGCTTATAGCCGGTCGGTGATCTACCAACTGGCCGTTCAAATTTACCCTAGCCTCATTATACTGTTACAGGACTAACTTGTAAAATGTAAAGTTGCAATCACCAACGGAATTTCCTTCCTCTAAATCCCACTTTTTCTACAGGTACAGTTTCTTAATGATATTTGAGAACGGAGTGAACATGCTGCAAGACCCGGGGAGTGCGGGCAGTTGCATGGAAACATTCCTTCCCACTCCATTCGTCACCTGTGACAGGTAGTTTAGATTTGTGTTTATTAATCCAGTGGAAGTTTTGAACTTTTACTTAACGGCGCTTGGGTGTTCAGTTATTAGGTGTAAGTTTGATTTTGATAAAAATTATTTATTGAATTGTAATATGGATTGTGTTTAGGAGTGGTGAGTGTGGACACAACTTCAGAACTGAGAAGAGTGTTTGGATGGGAGCAGAAGTAAGGTAGGGTGAATCGCTACCGCTTTTAGCAGCTTGTGGGGTTACCTTCCCATACAATTTGTTCAATAACTTCCCATGCGATTGATTTACAAATCGATGTCAAATCCACATTTGGTTCAACCAATAATTAAGATTTTCCGAAATTCTTTATAAGTTAATCGTATGTAAGATAACGTCTTCTCTCTTTCTCTTCCTAACCCCGATCATATCTCCAGTGAAGACCCAATGATACGACTAACGACGATGGACCAGGTTGAGGCGCATATCAGCCGTTGTAATGTCTGTATGGGACCTAGTCTTGTACAAACAGTGCACTCTTTCTCGACAGATATACCTAACTGTCCCATTGGATTCGAAGAAATCTGGGCGGGGTAAGTTTTAAGTTTTGGTAATTGGTTATGATAGCTATATAGGACCATGTCTTTTTGTCTTCTGTACTCGTGGAGGTCCTTGGTACTGACTTAGTACTGGGACTGAACCACTACTGGGGCTGAACAAGTAATCGAACTGTTTAACAGTGTTAAGATAGAGTTAGGATACTTTTCCGAAAAGTCTTTTCGAACTGAATTATAGAAATAGTCACGATCAGAAGACAGAAAACGAATCGGCACCACATTTTGCTATCATATTATATTTAAATTAACTACTAACTTTGATAATAATTTATATAATATCTTAACAGGTACAGCTACCTGATCCCTATTTTAGACGCAATGAACCCAGCATCTGATGGGAAGACAGGTAGAGCGGGACAAGGCATCCCAACCAACTCTCCCGGGTCCTGTCTACCTGAACTTCAGACACCTTCTTATCTTGAGTGCCTCAGTGAGTCTTGCTATAATATAATATATAGTATAATACCTTTTTACTTTGAATATACAATAAACACAATGTTATGAGCTTTCTTTATAATCTTATTATTATATGTATATAAAGCGAGACGATATATATGTCTGTTGCCATTTTACTGACACTACGGTCCACGACATCAACTTTAACACGACTTTCTGCAACAACTGTGAGAGATATATATCTATAATAATTATACCCTTCAAACTTTTTTGGTTGGGTCAAATGTTTTTATTTGACTAGTATTAAAAAATAAAAAATTGGCCAAGGAATAAGAACTTTAGTTCACGAAATTTGGAGCCCCAAGTGGTGTCAAAATCGCTTAATAAATAAATAAATATCGTCTCTTTACACCACTTTAAAGTTAGACGGGTTCCTGCTAGTTGTGTAGGAACTGTTAAATTTAGGTTGATTTACGACCATTATATACTGTGTCAAAACAAATATTTGATTTTCATTTTAAAATCAAATAATTTTATGGGCCGGCACAGTTATGGGTTAAATTAGCTTAATTTCTGCGAAGTTGCAAATAAAATCTTTCTCTGTTCGACCAGTTTTAAAAGATAACCGCTCTTTCAAACAACATGAAAGGTGTTTGACTGTGCGATGTGAAAATAATCTATCGTGGGAAACCACATTTCCTTCTGAGATCGAACTAGGAAGATCAAGATGGTCCAGAAATTATTCACAAACATTATGTTTATGTAGAAACATGTTGTAGGTCTCCTAAATCATTCGAGTGATAACATATGTTTTTAATGAATTTATTAAGAGATATTTCCGTTGACGGCAAATCAAAAGGTCGTCTTTATATCCGTCAACAGCAGGTTGTGTTACCGTTTATTGAGTTACAATTATTAGCTATTTGTATTATAAGTTATTTCCATTTTGTTGCAAATTGTTTATTTGCACTTTATATAACCTCTTCGTCTGTTAACCCCCTCAACTCTTAGGCCGCGGGTACTGCACATACAACACAGCCTTCTCCGATTATTGGCTGCGAGCAGACGACATCAACAACACGGACAACGTACCCGGTGCTAACGCAAACTCTAGCATCTACGACACCACTATTGATGCTAAAAAGAGGCTCGCTAATGTGAGTAGATGTGCAGTTTGCAAGAAATCCAGCCGATGGAATGGCAGTAGGCGAAAATAAGTAGTAGACACGTAATCGATGAAGCTGCTGAACTGAAGAGATGACGTACAATTACTTGAGAGTGTTGAAAATATTTGAGATTGTATGCGGACCGAATTTATAAAGCTTATTCCATCATTTTGCAGAATTCTGATTTCTCGATAGCAGCTCATCTTTATACATGACTTACATTGTATGTATTATAGGTTAATTTACTGTATGATATATCGCTTGTCATTAACGTTTGATTAAACAACTTTCTTATTAATACAGGGTAGGATGAAGGACGCGATTTTTAGAATTAAATTGGTACTCCTCGTATTTCATATTTGAGGGTTTTTATTAAGTTTTGATATAAACGGCTTTTTTTATTTTGAAGGTGATCTTATTTTACTAACACCGTGAATCTTAATTCACCGCCCTACTTATTTTTAAGGAGTTCACTATTGCTAATCTCAACCATTTTTAATTTATTATTTCAAATTTTAAAATAAAAAACGATTTGCCGTGTGCCGACTCGAGCTTTTGGTCATGCAAAATATAATCAAAGTGTTGCTTCGACCATGCAAAATGTGATCAAAGCAAAATAAGACGTTTCTTTTATTTTCAATGTTTAAGAAACTATGAATTTGTTGTTTTAATTTTTTTTTTTTTTTTTTTTTAATTATAAATATGCAACCTACTAAAACCAATGGGGCCCTCCCCGGGGTCATTACTCTCGCATTTGCGAGAGTCATCCCAAAGGTGTGAAAGTAGGTCAAGATTTGTTCACACCAAGCCCTAGCATCGCTATTTGCTGACCATCTGCCTTCACTGAAGGTATGTTTTTAGAGAGTGGAGGCCGACCGTCAGCTTGGGATGCAGGGCTAAGTGGTCAACAACGTCAAGGCCCCCTTCCACATGGGCCATGTTGGTTTTGGCAGATACTGTGGTAATAAGATATGAAGTGAATGAGTGAAATGAAGTGATTGAAAAGGGTGTAAAAGAGGAAGAGCTTGTAAGGTAGTTTAGGAATGGAAGGAAGCAGGGCATGTACTACAAAAAACAGTTAGTAGTACTGTAAGATAGTAACAATAACCATTGATAGTAAAATAACAAAGACAGCAATATAAATGGGGTGGACAATTTGCCCTAATCGGCCAAGATCGACACAATAGAACTTTTGTGGCCTATTTTGTCTCCAGTAAGTGAAAGTTTAAGAAGTTTGATATATCCCTGCCAGATCGGCATGTCCCCTGCCTGAAATCTTTTGCTAATGTACCATTTGGCAACAATATTAAAATAATTTATAATTTGTGAAGTGTGATTACAAACTATAAAATTAATTTTATTGGGGTCTTTGTAATTTCTATCGATTTTCCTTTTTATAAAGTCTTCAAGTATTGTGATGAAGCTATTTGTGTGGATACAATAGATATGAGGAATTGTTTCTAAGTATGTGTTACACAGACTACACATGGGAGTATCTGTAACAATTTTCATTTTGTGTCTCATGTATCTACACGTCGTGATCCTCATTAAAAGCTTGTACTGAAATTGAATCAACTTAAAATTTTTAGATACTAAGAAAAATAGGTTGCTAAGAACGACCGCCCAATCTATTGGTTGATTATTTAGGTCAATAACCCAATACTAGGTAGTGCGCCATCGACAGTGAGCCGCGCGTGCCGACTGTAGGATGGTTTTTTAGCGCTAATTTCGGCCAGCACAATTTTCTTCAAACAAATAGATATTAAGTATCCTTCCCGACCTCTGATTGCAACAAAAATTGGTAAGCTTACTCATAGACTTACAAGGAAGGTGTCCGAAAAGTTTAAAGCCGATCCACCCATCAGACATTATGTTACAGCTAAAAGCAGGGTATTTTGCCCCATTTTGATCACTATATCAACTCCGATATCCACCAAATTTTTCGGACAGTTGTGAAAGCCTTATTGGAAGGTAGTCGCCAATTTTCAGAATGATCTCATACAAGGAACTGAAGATATATCCAAATAATACGACAAAAATCAACGAATTTGGTCGAATTTGGTCAAATTTGGTCAAATTACGCGACTTTTACAGCTAATTTTGCTCCAAAAGCCGCGCACCATCAAATATGGCACCTAGCTGCGACAATCACTGATCTTTCCAAAAAGGTATGACAAATTTGGTATTGTGAAAATTCTCACAGTCTCTAGAAAACAATGGTACAAAAATTTTAAAAATCCGAGCAAGTTTATTTTTATGGTGCACCCCCTACCAATACCCATTGACTTAATGGGGACAGCTCGTTTGGGCAAATAGAGTCGTACATTTTATTCCGAATTTTACTTCCCTTCACCTGTCCAGTTACAGAATGTAAAAATTTAAGTTTTATATTTGAGTCAACAAACTCAATATTCCTTGAGTTAATAGTGGGGCAGTTATATCTCCGTATTAGTGTAATGTGTGGGCTGGTTGCAGCGATCTTTAAGCAGTTTTTAGTAGTCATGTTTTAGTTAGGATATTGCAGTTAAGTGAAGAAAAACCGTTAGGATTAGTGTAGATTTAGAGTAGTTAGGTTTAGTGATTTGTGTAAAGTAGGGCACGTGTTAGTCGGGCGTGTAGGTTTTGTTATAGTATTATGGCTGGGCCGAGCCGCGCGGTACCACGTGGGTGACCACGTGGTATCACGTGGCGCGGGTCGTTAACGCAGTTCTGGACACGTTGGAGTCAGTTCTGGAAAAGCTTTTTAGGTGACGTGTTTAACTTTCAATATAAGGGTTAACCGCTGATCTGGAACGAACCCGGCGTGGCCCGTATTGCCACAGTTTATAGTTGTTAATTGTTGTTAATTAACCGTATATTTCATCTTCGAACGTTATTAATCGATTCAACTGTTTCCCTTGTTCAACACTAGCGTAGGAACGTATTGTACCACATTTTACCGTTCAAATTAAAGTTGCCTCACCTATTTCCGTGTGGGGTAAATTAGTAAGCTTTCGATACTCGGAGATCGTGTTTCAGTCAATTCAGAGTAAGTGCAAGTTCTAAGAGTTTAGTGTTTCTACTAGCGTTCGTAACGAGTTTATATTTCCCATTTGACTCATATTCTCGATATTAACACCTTGGTATCCCTTTCTGTTAATTCCGTGTACGGTACTAGAATATCGTATTTGTTATATTAACGTAGAGTTCAATACTTAGATATTGTGAGTTATTGCGGTTGTCAGTCGCTAAGAACGACTGAGAGTATAGTGTGTAGTGTGAGAGGACTTGTGAGCAGGCACTGTATACCATTGGTACGCCCGGGAGGACTGGTCTAGGTGCTATCTTATTTTACACTATCTGGAGAACCTAGGAAAGTGGTACTATGTCTGGACTCACAGGAATGGAGCAGGAGATGAAGGAACTAGTAGAGGAGGAAAAACGGATTGTGGATCAGATTGTGGAGGTGAAATTGGAAATGAGGTCCTGGGACACAAGTGAGAAAGAGACGGAGATAAAAGAGAGAAAAGTGGAGTTGTTTGATTTGGGCGAGAAGAGAGAGGAGTGTTTGAGCAGAGTGAGAGAGTTGGAGAGAGATATGATCAAGTGGAGACAGGACGCAGAACTTGAGCGAGAGGGATTGATGAGGGATCAAGAAGTAAAGTTGGAGCACACGAGCAACTTATTTCAAGAAAGAGTGAGAACTACTGAGAGTGATGATTTGCAACCCGGAAATACAGAGAGAGATAAGGGAGTATACACGATGAAGTGTAAGGCGCCTAGGTATAGGAAGAATGATGACTTTTGTACATTCTTACAGAGATTCGAGCAATGGGTCCTGTTATGCGGAGTAAAGGACAATCTAGACTTGAGGCTAGCAAATCAGATAGAAGACGATGCAAAGTTCAAAAAAGTCAAGAACATTCGGCTGTTGAGTGAGGAGAGAGGTGACGTGAAAATGCTGATCAGTGCGGTGAAACGAGAGCTATATCCCGCTACTGATGCGAGAATTATGAGAACAACGTTTCACAAGATGAGACAGGAAGCGTTAGAGAGCGTGGAGCAGTTCGCAGAGAGAATACAGGACACTGCTGAGAAGATATACCCGAGAGCTGTGGAGAGAGAGAGTGCAGGTATCACTGTGTTGATACAGGGCGTGAGAGACCCTGCTATTAAAAGACGGCTCCTTCAGATGAACACGGAGACAGAGGATTTTGATAGTGTGATCCGTTTAGCTGTACAGGAGGAACACATATCCAAGGCAGTAGAGGGAGAGCTTGACAGTGATCCAATAAATACACTGGAATTCCGGGCACCTACTTATGGTGTTGGCAGGCAAGGTGAGAAAGAAGAGGATGAGAATGACTGTCAAATGTGTGGGAAGAAGGGTCACAAGGCTGACTCGTGTTGGAGCAATATAGTGTGCCAGCTGTGTGAAGATAAAGGGCACGTTGCCAGTGTTTGCAGGAGAAGAGTGGGTCCGGTTGAGCAGAGCAGCAGAGGAGCGAGTAGAGGTGCGAGTAGAGGAGCGAGTAGAGGGGCGGATAGAGGTGCGAGTAAAGGAGAGAGTTGCAGGCCATTGATTTGTTATAATTGTCACGGTGAGGGTCACATTCAAAGATTCTGCAACGTCGACAGAGGGCAATCTGGAGGACGAGGAGGGCAGTACAGACCCACAGAAACTGAACAGTATGGAATGCAGAGAGACCATTTAAACTAGCGTGCGACTGGACAAAATTAATTCCCCGTCAGTCGCAATCAAAATCATCTGGGGAGCAGAAGGAGATAAATGCAGTAAACTGGGAGCACATCTTGGTGGCTGGGAGTTGCAGAGGAGTGGCAGCCTACCTTTTTGTTGACAGCGGGTCGGCTGTGAGTATTGTGTCCACGGGTTTTGTGAGAGAGCTGGGTCTAGAGAGCGGGATCCGACCGTGTGGCATGACATTGAAGTCATTTTCTCAAGACAAGATACAAATCAGGGGAGAGTTAGAGCTACAGGTGGTAGTTGCTGGCAATAGATTTATACACACCTTCGTGGTAACTGATCTGTTAGACACAGAATTCCTGATTGGAGATGATTTCTTGAGGTCAAATAGGGTAACTCTGGACTACAGCAAGTGCAGACTGGTGCTGACTAATGGAGATAGTGTACCATTCACGGAGAAGCCGGAGAATGTCAAGCAGCAGATAAAAGTGAGATGTAGCAAGGTCACAATTATTCCTCCTAACACGGTGCAGTACATCAGGGGAAAATTACAGGCGAAAGGAGTGAATTTTAAAGGTGTGATTAAGCCACAGTACAAGCGAGGTATTGGGGACACGGGCATTTCATTCGCTCATGAAGTTGTGCACTCTGATAAAAGATTGGTCCCGATAAAGTGTGTTAACTCTACTGATGAGCCAATAACGATCCGCAAGAACAAGATCGTCGCACTATTGAAACCTGTTGGCGGTAAGAAATTTATACACGGCGTGCAGAGGATCAGAGGTCACGATATCGGTGTTAGAGGGAC